CTGGAACTCACTATGTAGACCAGGCTGGCCTTGAACTCATAGAGATCTGCCTGCCTCTGCCTCCCGAGTGCTGGAATTAAAGGCATGTGCCACCACACCCAGCTCACAACTACAATTTTAAACTAAATATTCCAACTTTCATGATGCTGCTAACTCATGAGTTTCAACTTACCTTTCCCAACTCCTCCCAGTGGACCAGTAGCAACAACTGAAGGCCAAAAAGAACCAGCACCCTCTAAGCATAGCCACATGAGCAGGGTCTGCCCAGTGTCCCTATTTCTTTCTGCCAAGGCCAAGGTCCCTTAGCTGCTTTATATAATCTATACTGTAGTACTAAAGTATTATGGCCATCTTGTAGGTCACTTTTAATACACTGATGACACAAATCACCTAGTACAAGAGAGCGTGTTCTACCTAAAGTCAGGGCTTTCCTTCTCAGCCTTTAATGAATGAACAGCACATGTTCACTTATATGCAAAGTGCTCAGCTTGGCAGAGGAACCAAATTAAGAGGACAATATCTGCTGAAACCACCTGGTTGAAGAGACTCCTTGGGGGCTAGAGAGATGGCTCAGCAGTTAAGAACACTTGACTGTTCTTGCAGAAGACCCAGGTTCGAATCCCAGCACCCGCATGGCAGCTAACAACTGCCAGTAACTCCAGTTCCAGGGGATCCATCAGCCTCTTCCGTCCTCTCCAGGCATTGCACAACACAGGTGTACTTTCCTACATGCAGGCATAGCACTCATACACATAAAATTTTAAAAATATTAGAAAGTTTATATATAAAAAAAAAAAGACTACTAACTACTGGACAGTGGCATATTCGGGAAGGATGACAGCGGCACCTCTGAATGGCACAGACTTAAGTCTCATGCTAGGTCTCATGCTTTCAGTGATTAGTCAGCCAAAGAACAGTAGAGACCCATGAAAAGAGCAGATATAATGACACAGAAAGTGACAGACCTGGATCCAGAAACTGGTTCTGCTTCTTTTCAGTCATTTTAATCCTGAACAATTAATCTCTCTAGGCCTCTCAAAGTGGCACAACAGGTGGCTGTGTATACAAAGGATGCAATGCCCAGGTATCTGGAAGCCCAACCACCACCCAATAGCCTCAAACAGCATCACCTACACTGGCAGGTCAAGAAGGCAGCCAACTGCCAGCACTAGACTTGCCTCCCACCCCTTCCACCTGCCACCACACATCTCAAGGTCCCCATGAGTCCCATGTTCACCATTCTTTGTCACATGATTCAAAAGATTCCCGCACAAATACCTTTTTATCTGCAGGACTTGAGATCTTGGATACTAGAGCTGCTTCCACAAGGCCCTGCTCCAGTAAGGAGTCATATTTTATGCTCCTCTTCCTGTTCCTCCTAGCCTTATTATCTGATTTTTGTCCAGTTTCTTCTGATTGAGACACATCAGCAGCACTGTCACCACATATGGAAGATTCAAAGAGAGGCTTCCCATTCATGTATGTTTTGGTGATTTTCAGTTTAATCTCCGGAGAGCCATTTTTGATAGGGGTAGTATTGGGTGGTGTCCCAATTCCTTTCACTTCCTGGGACTCAAAACACAATTTGGCATCATGAGCACCAGGTTCTCCATTAAACACACGAGAAGTAAGATCTTTCAACTTCTCAGCTGGAATAAAGGGAAGTGCATCGTGGCCATTGAATGTGTGCATGACCCCGTCCTGCAGGCTGTTAGAAAGCTGAGCCTTGCTGAGGAATACAGAACATCCGTGGTCCACTTCACAGTTCTGAGTCTTTCCATTGGCACTGCCAAGGATTTCTGGTGCCTGCTTCATCTTCACGCACTTTACAACCTTCCGCACAGAAAGAGAGCTTTTTCTGATGCTAAATTCCATCCAGTCTAGATGCTTTGGTTCTTAGAACACTACAGCATTAAAAAAAAGAAAGAAAGAAAAGAAAAAGAAGAAAAAAGCAACATATTACATTTTAAACCTAGGATAAGTATGCCAAATATCTCTTTGTTGGGTGTTGGGTTTTGTTTAGTCTTTGAAGCAATTTATGATGTTTTCTATAATAATGTAGGTTGTAGGAAGCAGTTTTCATATAACAAATTAACAAGACTGAAAAGAAGGCAGTAAAGAATCATTTGTAAAATGGAAAATATAGTAGTCAGGAAAAGTTCAGGTGTATCACTACCACCAACAACCAATGTGGGAGAACATATAACCTGACGTGTGGACTGGAGACATGACTCAGTAGGTTAAGAGCACTTGCTGCTCTTGCAGAAGACCTGAGTTCAGTTCACAGCACTCACACGGCACAAGGCAGCTAACAACTACCTCTAACTCCATTTCTAGGGGACCCAATGCCCTATTCTGGCCTCCATAGGCACCTGCACACACATGGTGCAGTTAAACTCATATAGGCTCACACACATACACATAAATAAAAAAAATAAATAAATCCTGGCTGGGAATGGTGGCATACGCCATTAACCCCAGCACTGGGACAGAGGGCAGAGGCAGATCTCTGTGAGTTTGAGAATTGCCTGACTGGTCTACATAGTGAGTTTCAGGCCTACCAGGGCTACTAATGAGACCGTCTTTAAAAGAAAAATAAAGAATAAAAGAACTTATGAATTTAACCTCTACATTTACCCTTTACATACAGGTCCTACTCACTCCCAGCATACACACAATTAAGAGCCACTGTATACAGGAGTTAACACAAGGCCAGGTAGAAGCAAAAGAACAGCAATAAAGAACTTAAAAACAAATTAAGAGGGCTGGAGAGATGGTTCAGCGGTTAAGAACACTGGTTGTTCTTGCAGAAGACCCACATTAAGTCCCAGCACCCACATGGCAGCTAACAACTGTCCGTAACTCTAGTTCCAGGGGATCTGACAGCCTCTTCTGTCCTCCAAGGACACTGCATGACATGAGAGCACTTACCTACACGTAGGCAATACTCACATACACATAAAATAAAAACAATACAGCCAGGCGTGGGCCATGGTGGCATACGCCTGTAGTCCCAGCACTTGGGAGGCAGAGGCAGGCAGATCTCTGTGAGTTCAAGGCCAGCCTGGTCTACATAGTGAGTTCCAGGACAGCTGGGGCTACAGGGAGACCCTGTCTCAAAAAGACCAAAAAATAAATAAATAATAAATAAATAGTAAATAAAATATTTAAAAAACAAAAACAAATTAAGGGCTGGAAAGATGGCTCAACAATTAAGAGCACTTGCTGTTCTTCAGAGACTCCAGGTTCAGTTTCCAGCACCCGCATGGTGACTAACAACCACCTGTGAGTCCAGCTGCAGGAAGTTCAATGCCCTCTTCTGGCCTCTGCAGGCACTACATGTATGTGGTACACTTATATACATGGAAAAAAAGCTCTCACACACACCAAATAAAAATGAATAAAATATGGCTGGGTGTGTTGGCGCATGCCTTTAATCCCAGCACTTGGGAGGCAGAGGCAGGTGGATCTCTGTGAGTTCAAGGCCAACCTGGTCTACATAGTGAGTTCCAGGCCAGCTGGGGCTACAGGGAGACCCTGTCTCAAAAAAAAAAGAATAAAATATGTATTTTTGGTCTATTTTGAGACAGGGTCTCCCTGTAGCCCCAGCTGGGCTTGAACTCACAGAGATCCACCTGCCTCTGCCTCCCAAGAGCTGGGATCAAAGTCGTACACCACCATGCCCAGCAGAATAAGAGCACTGACTGCTTTTGCAGAGGACCCGGGTCGATTCCCAGCACCCACATGGTGGCTACAAACAGTCCCTAACTCCAGTTCCAGGGGAATCCGAGGCCCTCTAAGCCCTCTTCTGATCTCCACGGCATTGCACGACACGAGTGCACTCACATACATGCAGGCAATACACTCCTACCACATTAAAGTAATAAATAAAATATTTTAAAAAATAAGAAAAAGCAAAATAAATGCTGACAAAGAGCTAGTCCCACTCCTAGCACAGCTGGTAACTCTGAAGGACAGCCCAAGGTCACCCGCGATCAGCAAAGTTTAAAATCAGATCTTCCAAACTTCCAGCATTAGCTCTAGAGTGATGAGAAGAAAAAAAGCAAAAGCCAAGGAGTAACAAAGTACCAGCCCCCAGTCAGCTCTGGCTGGTGCTTGACCTAGTACTTTATTCTCTGCCTCTGCCCCTACCCCTTCTTGTCCAGGCCCATATTAAACATTTAACTCAAGGAGCATTCAGTAACATTACATTTTATTTATCTATCATCTGAAGATTAACTAGTCCAGAAGCAACACTGCTGTACTACTGGGAAACCTGGAAAAACTAGACAATGCTTCACATTGGCCATATGATGCCACTGCAGACAGACACAATTTTCCCAAGTTCCCTCTGGCCTTCATTGTGATGCTGCACTCCCCAGTCAGAGACACTTAAAGGGGCTAGAGCCCAAGACAGGTAGAATAAGGGACAGGCACTCCCCCCAGTTTACAAGATACCCACCAAGACTGCAATAAGCCCCTCCCAAAAGGCAGTGACCAACAGCATCCAGCACTGAAGAAAAGCTAAAACACAAAGAGCCAGAGATGCCCATGCATGCAGAACAGCAGCTCTCCAACTAGGCATGATTTTGCTCTCCAAGGATATTTAGTTCCATCTAGAAGCATTTTTTCTTTTTTTACTATCAGTACATCAGGCAGCTGTACTGACCACCTATACTGGCTAGAGGCCAAAGATGCTAAACAACCTAGAATGAATGCACAGGATGGTCCCAGCAACAAAGAATTATCCAGCTCAAGATGCCAACAGTACAATATGGAGAAAACCTATTATGCAGCCATGGTTCCTAGCACTGTAACATAAAACCCAGGGAGTAAGGAACGGGACATAAGAAGTAGATTTAAAAAATTTCCAAGTCTTGCCGGGCGTCCACGCACGCCTTTAATCCCGCCCAGCACTCGGGAGGCAGAGGCAGGCAGACCTCTGTGAGTCCAAAGCCAGCCTGGTCTACATAGTGAGTTCCAGGACAGCTGGGACTACAGGGAGACCCTGTCTCAAAGACAAAAAAAAAAATCTCCAAGGTCTTGATGGGAGTGGTAGCACCCACCTTTAATCCCAGCACTGAGGAGGCAGAGGCAGCCTGGTCTATATAGCAAGCTCAGGCCAGCTGGGGCTACAAGGAAACCCTGTCTTTAAAACAAACAAATCAACAAATAACAACAAGGGGCTGGAGAGATGGCTCAGTGGTTAAGAACACTGGCTACTCAGGGCTAGAGAGATGGCTCAGCAGTTAAGAACACTGACTGTTCTTGCAGAAGACCCGGGTTCGAATCCCAGCACCCACATGGCAGCTAACAACTGTCCGTAACATGCAGGTAATACACTCATACACATAAAATAAAAATAATAAAATACTTTTTTAAATATTGAAAAAAAAAAAAAGAACACTGGCTGCTCTTGCAGAGAACTTGGGTTCAGCTCCCACCATCCACATGGCAGCTAACAAGCAACCGTACCTCCAGTTCCAGGGGAATCTAACACCCTCTTCTGACCCCCGTGGGCATTGGGTGCACTTAAATACATGGCAGGCAATACACCCATACACATAAAATAATAAATATTTTTAAAATACTTTAAATGCTTTAAGTTAAAAATGGAAAACAGTCACTGCAAAATGGGAGAACATACTGAAGAGTGAAAATTGAAAATAAAGAGGTTAAAAAAAGAAATTAACAGTTATGGGAAACAAGAATGGAGGTGACAGAATTATACATCAAGTTGCTGTTCCTTTAAATAAGCTCTTCAGAGTGAGAGAAATAATTACTTACACTTCAAAGACTACATCTGATATAATTTGACTTATGTGACTGAGGAGGCAGAGTAGCCTCTATTCTCCACACAGAATAGAGGGCATCTCTGACATGTAGGAAAAGGGACCTGGGCATTGGTAGTCACCACTCCAATTTGCCATGAAGCACCAGGCTCTGTTCCAAAAAAACAGCTGCCAAATGATTCAATAATTCCAGTCCTATGTATCTACCCGAAATCATGTCCGTGTATCTGTACAAGAAATTCACAGAAGCAATATTCCTAATAGCAAAAAAAAAAAAAAAAAAAAAAAACTAAAATGTCTATCTATTGATAAATAGATGAACAAAATGTGACCTGTCCATCCAGTGGACATTATTTAGCCATAAAGAAGAATGAGGTAATTGGCCAAGCATGGTGGCACACACCTTTAATCCCAGCAGTTGGGAGGCAGAAGCAGGTAGATCTCTCTGAGTTCAAGGCCAGCCTAGTCTACACAGGAAGTTCCAAGTCAGCTAGGCCCACTCAATGAGACTGTCTCACCCCCCCCCAAAAAAACCCAATAACAGAAAGGAACGAAGTATGGATTTATGCAGACATGGATGAACCTTAAAAATATTAAGCTAAGTAAAAGAAACCAGACAAAAAAGACCACACACTAACTGAATTGCACTCATGAACTCAAAGCAGTTGTGGGTACCCAAGCAAGACCTACACAGACTGGGCCCCTCAGCATTTCATCATGGATGCTGGAGTTCATACGGCCCCACCCATCCTAAGAGACTACTGGAAGTTAATGGTTGCTGGAGGAAGGGTATCATTTTTTTCATTAGTATAGCCACTGATAAGCTGCCAGTGCTCTGACAAGTAATTCCTCAACCATGCTCATGCGAGTAACCATAATTAAAATAATACATATACATCCAAAATGAAGGGAGAGAGACATGATAAGTTTCATCAAGAAAGGGAAGGGGTGAGAATGCAACAGGGGATGAAATGACCAAAGTTCATTATACACATGTATGAAATTGTCAAAGAATTAAAGATACTGTGTGCCTTCATTTATATAAATGTCAAAAAAAAGCAAATCTATAGAGACAGAGAGCAGAATGGTTTTCAGGAACAAAAGGAAAGTTA